TAAATACATAGTAATCAATATTATATATATATATTTTCTAAGTTCTGTCTGAGAGAGCTTCTGCAGCTTCTTATTTGGCTTAACTCACTTCACAAAATGATGAAGTTTAATATTCTGTTATTGCATATCCTCCATACATGCAAATATTCATTTGACTGGCTAAGCTTACATAGGAAAATATATTTTATTTGATTCCTCATATGTGTGGAATATAAATTATGTGTGTGTATATAAAAATATGAATACGCAAATTTAGAGAAAAACTTTTTAAAATGAGTAATCTGTAATATGTCTTTTGAAAAGGTGGTTTTAATTTTTATTAATACGATTATCAGCATTGTTTCATTTTACCTGCTAAAGAAACCATAAATTGTAGACATACATAAAAATATGGAGAGAATAATTTTCTAATACAATTTAAGTATTTTAGGCTTATTTTTCTAGTTTATGCGTATTTGAATTTTGAACAAAATTAACATTATATCAAGCTTAATTTTTCCTCTCAGAAAGGAATATTTGTAGTTCACATTAAGCAACAATGTAAGAAATACACCAGAAGTTTGAAGCATGGTCATTTTCCAGTGAGTGCAAGTAAGTAAAGATAGATGTGGATCTGTCATGCTATTTCGAACATTTGATCATTAGTGTTTTCTGCAAGCCTGAAAGTTAAGCTGATGTGACTCTGATGAAAAGACAAGCTGATGTTTTGAATCTGACTCTGATGAAAAGATAGATTTGCCAGTAATTTAAGTGGAAGTAATTTCCCGAAATGTTTTGTTTCTTGTGACAGAATTTTGTCACTTCACTTAAAGTGCAAGTGCAATGAGCCAATGAGCAAGAATTTTTTTTTTTTATTATTTATCCATTTATTTGAAAGGCAGATTAGAGAGAGAGAAACAGCCACAGCCAGGGCTGAGTCAAGCTTAAACCAAGCGCCTGAGAGCTTCATTCAGCTCTATTTGCACATCAGGATCCCAAGCACTTCGGCCATTCATTGCTTTCTAGGTGTACCAGCTTAGGAGATGGAATGGGAGTGGGGTCGCTGGAACTCAAACCAGTGCCAGGCAGCACTGCCAGCAGCTCTGAGCAAGTATCTTAAACTTTTAACATGCCTGATAAATGAAAGCAATGGAAGCATGCACTACTCTGCAGCCATGTTCATTTGGAAGTCCCGATTCGTTCTCCTCAACTGCTAGTGGACGACTTTGGTCTTGGACATTGGTGGTTGACATTAAATTCTGATGTATCTGCTTCCCATTAGCTGAACTTGAGAGACTAGAATGTCTTTTTAACTTTGGCATAAAGAGAAAGTACAACTTTTATCAGCATTTCCACTCATAGTTACAAGATCAGCTTTCACACACACACACACCCAAAATACTAAAGGCCGGATGCAATGGTCTCCCATGTTGTAACAAGGGAGTTTCAAATTATATAACTTCAGTCCGAAAACATGTGTGGTTTAAGAGCTTTCTTATGCCTCTAGGGAGAGTACATTTCCCTGGAATCCAAGATGGCACCCAGCTTCAGCAATATTCTCATTAAGAAACCTTCAGGGGAAATTGCAGGACATTCTGTGTTGTTTTGATCCATCAGCCATCTAAATGGACAAAGCAGAAACATGAGAACATAGTTCACCGAGTCAGCTTATCAATTAGGTCACTTTTTTTTTGGTAAAGATTTACCTATTTTTATTGAAAAGTCAGATTTACAGAGAGAAGGAGAGACAGAGGTGAAGATTTTTCATCCACTGATTTACTCTCCAAGTGGCAGCAGTGGCTAGAGCTTAGTCGATCCGGAGCCAGGAGCTTCTTCCAGGTCTCCCACGTGGGTGTAGGGTCCCAAGGCCTTGGGCCATCCTCGACTGCCTTCTCAGGGCACAGGCAGGGAGCTGGATGGGAAGTGGAGCTGTCGGGACTAGAACGGTGCTCATGTGGGATCCTGTGCATACAAGGCGAGGACTTTAGCTGTTAGGCGACAACGCTGGACCTGGCTAGGTCACTCCTGGTGCCAGAAATTTGACTGTGGATGTCCTCTTCAACTATAGAAATATCTACTATCAAGTTCATAAGGAAATGATATCAGAAATTGAACATGACAACTAGGGTATGGAATGAGAATTACACTGTTAGCCAAGTAGTCAATATATTTTTGGACGCTTGGCAGAAAGACTGTGCCCACGATGGAATGCTGCAACTACAGTGTGAATGTTTTGGGTGCCAGCTTCCATAAGTGCTATGAACACTGAATTGCTGAGGACTTAAATTTTCTACATTATAAATTAAGAGTAATGATGATGATAATGATGGCAGTACCTAGCTAGATATGGCATGGTTTGAAGTGAACTGAGGAAGTTAGGCCTCTGACAGTGACTGCACATTGCTGAGTTGTATGGAAGTGCTAGCGGACACAACAGTCAAGGACACCTAGTGCATCCTGCATCATGCTGCCCAAAATCTCCTTCTCCATAAACACCCCAAGAGTGGAGATGTGCAGAGAAGGGTGATTGGGGCTTGGGTGAGGGAAAGTAGGGGCTCCTGTCAGCCAAGAAGCACCAGTGTTTGGGTCCCTGCCACCCATGTGACATACCAGATGAAGTTCCTGGCCCAGCCTTGGTTTTCGCATCCTAATGGAGAGTGAATCAGCAGATGGAATCCTGGCTCTCTGTTTCTCCTCTTTCTCTCTGTAACTCTACCTTTCAAATAAACAAATCTTTTAATAAAAGAGGAAGGCAAAGCCCTAAACTAACACTAGGAGATGGGAATTCCTATGTTTCATAGAGAAGCTGTTAAAAGATGTGTATTTCTACAGCGCTTTTCAAAACCTGACATCTCCTATCCTTACTCTCTACACCATCCAAATTAAGTAAGCAATTGCAGCTCTGAGTTTTCTTGGTTGCAAAGTAGGCACACTGGCCCCTGTGTGAACGCTCTGCAGAATACTCATTCTGATTGCTGTGAAGGACACATGCAGGCCCCTGCCACGTCAGCTCCTGGGTGTTCGCAGTGATCACGTATCAACATTGGGGGGGCCTACAAGAGAGGGAAAACAGCTGTTGTGCTCTGGATGGATGCTCACTGAGCTGCAGAACACACGAAGGCAACCTATGTTACCTCTCAGCCCGTGATGGGAGGGTGCTCTTGGTGGCCAAGTGGCTTCATAATTGGCCACAGGAAGTTTTAAGAGAATGCACATGATCATGGAGAATGACACCTGCTTCTTATTCAGCGTTTAAAAGGCAGTTGTCACACAGCATCAGGGAAAGGAGAAAAATGATACAGGGCCATGTGTACTTGCAGCATTTGAAGGATAAATGGATGTCATGTGAATGCAGACGCCTACATTCCAGCCACTGCATGGGTCATCCCACCAAGAAGGCTGCCTGCACAGGGATTGGGTTAGACTCTAAGCGGCAGTGTGCTGAGGCAGGCAGAGAGGGAAGGTCAGTCCTCCTACAAGGACTGTACAAAATGAGCTCTTTGTCCAGGACAGAAATGAATGCACAAAAATGTCGTTCATAAGTCAGTCATTCCTGGGACATCAGTTCTTGTAAATGTTGATTGTAGCGATTTCTCTTACCTCAGACTTTTGCCTTTGATCCTTCCAGTTCTCTGGTCGGCAGCACATGGGAAATAAAGCAGAGCAAGAAGCAATGAATACTGCTTGTACATGTTGGTCCTGAGAGCACTTGGTTATGTATGACATAGCCTAGGTATGTGGTTGACTGTCTGATCTTAGCTTGCATAAGTACATTGTATGATATTCATTCACCATGAACTCGGTTAATGATGCATTTCTTAGGGTATATCCTCATTATGAAGTTGCATGTGACTGTATTGCTGTTAACAAGTGTAATCCGTAATAATTGCTCCAAGAAGGCATGAGTGGCTGTGGCAACAGGGCAACAATTTATAGGAGGCCCCTCAAAAAGTTCATGGAGAAAATACGTATTATGAGAATAATATAAATTTCAATTTTTTGCATCAAAATAACTTCACATTTTAATTGCATTATTTCTACAGCATTCTTGTCGTTCTTATAGATGTTATCTTCAGTAATTCTCCAAAACTTGAGAAAATAGGCTCAGAAGATATAAACAGGTCACCTGATATCAGTCAATTAGAGATGAACTATGTAAAATTTGAAACTTTTGACTGAGCCCAAGCCCAAATTCTGTTCACGGTATTCATTTGTACTTCATTTCCCTTTCCAGAGATGACACAGGACACTTGGTTCATGGGAGATGGGAGACATCCCAGGCTGCAGTGTGGCTTGGAGTTCTCTCATCTCTGCCTAGGGTAGGACCATCACAGAGACTAAGCAACCTGTCCAAGGTTCCATGGGAAGGCTGGAGGTCAGGGTGAGACTTTTGATGTTTGGGGACATTGGAGCTGCTTTCTGGTGCCTTGGTTCAGATGTTCCCAGAAGTGGACCCTTGATGAGGATGCTGGTAAAGGCACAGGTGATCCTTAAAGCAAAAATAGTACCTGGGCTGGTGAGGCTGGAAGGAAAGAAAGCTAATGACTTGTGAGTAGCTACAGGGATTGCTGGTCTTCAACCCGTCCTTTCAGGTAACTGAGAGCTCCTGCTGGGAGAGCTAAACCCCCAGTTGTTCTGAAGTGCAGTAGGCAACTGCACCTGCCAGAGAAGGTTCTGGGCCAAAGGCACACCGACTCTGGCCATGGGAAGTTAGAAATGCCCTGAAGTGATGAAGAGAGGATGTGAACAACCCCTGCAGAGCCTGTGAACACTGACACATGCTGTCATTTCTGGCAGCTTTGTAGAATTTCATTCTAATTAGGAGAAATAGAAATTTTTATTTGATTGAAGGATTGGATTCTTCCAGGCCTCACTTAATAGGCTCTGAGTATGAGACAAATTATTTATAGTTCCTATTATAGAAATTATGTGGGCTGAAATGTATTTTATCCACAAAGTCATTGAAAGGTAATTCAAAGTAGTTAACATAAGTATTCAAGAACAAATCCTGAATTTCTGGCCTACCTGCTTTTGCGTGTCCTTGCCCACTTTTCTTCCACACGATCCAGGAATGCACTGTAGGCATCGCAACACCGCCTATGTCTCTAAAGGGAGTTAGTGAAAGCAAACATGTCAATATTCATTACTGTTTTGTTCTTTAAATTTTAAAAAATGACTTAAGAGAGATTTCATCCACTAGTTCACTCCTCACATGTCTACAACAAAACAGGCTGGGTCTGGGAGCCAGGAACTGAATTCTGGTCTCTTGAAAAGATGATAGGAATCCTATTACTTGAACCTTCACTCTTACCTTCTAGGATTCACATTGGTAAGAACGAGGTAAGAGTGGATGTAGGGAATTGAACTCAGATACTGAGATGGGTAACACAGAGAGGTCAACTGCTAGACCAAGCACCAAACATCTGCTGTTCTCGCTCTCTTTTTTGAAAAGATTTATTTATTTGAAAGGCAAAGAAGGAGAGGAAGAGACAGAGAGAATCTTTCCTCCACTTGTTCATTCCCTAAATGGCTGCAACAGCCAAGGCTGAGCCAGCTCAGGTGGAAGCCAGGAATCTCACTGGGATCTCTCACGTGGATACAGGGGCTCAAGTGCATAGTCATGGTCCAGTACTTTCCCCGGGCACATTAGCAAGGATTTGGGTTGGAAGTGGAGCAGCCAGGACTTGAACCAGTGCTCATATGGGCTGTAATGGTCACAAGTAGCAGCTTAACCCACTGTGCCAGAACACTGGCTCCAGGCCCCCTGTGTCTGTCCTTAAATTTCTATTTAAATATCATTGCTGTGATAGTTTATCTTAATCTTAATGCCAAATCCTCATCTTGTTCTGCTCATACACATGTTGCTCACAGTCCTGTTAGTATAGGGTAGAATTTAAGTCATGGTAAAAATATGTGTGTGTGTGTGAGAAAGAGAGAGAGAGAGAGAGAGAGAGAGAGAGAGAGAGAATATGTGTCACAGAGTCTCTTTGTTATACTTTGTTACTTAAATTAAACTCTGGGCTCCAGGTGATATTACAAGAAAATTTGGGTAACATTCTCACAGTTACTCAGGTTTCTATTCACCATACCAACTATTTTTGTAATACAAAATGACAATTTAAAATGCTGGATAACCCACTGCTTGCATTTCAAGATAAAGTGGAGGTGTCTGTATGTTTGACTTTTAAAGAATATCACATATATATGTACTACAACAGCTTAGAAATTCCTGCACCAGAGCAGTCACTGACAGCAGTGATAGAAGTATTTCCCAACAAGTGCAGAGAAAGAATCAAACCTACCGTGAATGAAGCTGATTTAATGGGCCACGGGGGTTTGGATAAAATGAGCTGTGCATCCCAGCTGCATTCCGGAGACTTGCGGGTGATGAACTGTTGTCTTCTGTCCTTCTGTTGATCAGCTTTCAGTAACTGGCCTGCTGATGGTACTAGACACGTGAAGACAAACGAGAAGCTTAGCAATGACACATGTCTCTTTTCATAATCTCTGAGTAAGAAAATTGTTCTGGGAGATCAGAACCCAAGGGTGGTAAATTGCTAGAAAATTTATAGATGCAAAAAAAAAAAAAACAACCTTTGCTTATCCTTTTGTCACTTTTGCTGGGTTTAATTTTATCCCTAGTCAAACTCTGATTCTTATGCTACTTTTTATTTCACTGGAAGCCTGGTTCCAATGTGCCTTACCAATAGGGTTTGTGGCCTGGCACAATGGCTCTGTGGCTAACTCACTTGATTTTTTTTTTTTTTTTTTACATTCTACCCTTATGTTTTACCTAGAAGATTCTTAAGGTCAAGGATTGAGCCTTTACATCTTCTGTAATAAGTTACACAGAACACATGCAAGGAAAGTTGATGTATTCTATTTCAATTGCATCTAGATAAGGGTTCTGTAACACAAGTCATGCCAGTATATGTATTCAGTTTGTAAATAAGTTATCTTAAATTTGCAATTATAACATCATTTGATTCTCATTCTGAAAACAACAAACTCAATTCTGTTATCCAGTGACAACCACTGATATGTTATTGCTTAATTGACATATAATATGTAAAATAAAGTACACATGTATTATTCACCTTATCCCCAAAAAAAGAAAGTTGGAGAGTACAAATTAATTCTGGAAAAAACACTATTCAAATGACACCTTAAAAATAATATTGATGGGGCCCGGCGCGGTGGCGCAAGTGGTTAAGGTCCTTGCCTTGCACGCCCGGGATCCCATATGGGCGCTGGTTCTATCCCAGCAGCCCCGCTTCCCTTCCAGCTCCCTGCCTGTGGCCCAGGAAAGCAGTGGAGGACGGCTCAAAGCTTTGGGACCCTGCACCCGCGTAGGAGACCCGGAAGAGGCTCCTGGCTTTGGATCGGCATAGTATCGGCCATTGAGCTCACTTGGGGAGTGAATCATCGGACGGAAGATCTTCCTCTCTGTCTCTCCTCTCTGTATATCTGCCTTTCCAATAAAAAAATAATAAAAATAAATCTTAAAAAAAATATTGATGTGCATTTATCATCTGCATATTTACTAAGTGTATTTCTTATGGCTTTAGCAGATTTAATGCTTACAGCAATTTTTTATGTAAAGTGAACTATTAATATTTTCAGGTACAGTTAGGCAATCTGGGGCAGTGAAACCGTGGGTCCAGGGCTGCACAGCTTGGTTCCAGAGTCAACCCCCTTAAGCTTTTTATTCTGTTTTTTTTTTTCCCACATCACATATGGAATGACAAACTCATCAATCTGCAGTCATCTATAGAAAACTATGAGTAATAAATTGGTTGTTGCAGTTAATTAAAAAACACTGAGAAATTTATCAAAGTATTAGAGGCAATAAGTGTTAATAAACCCGTCTTTTTAGTTATTTGCCTTTGAGGTGTCTTTATTAATGTACAATGCAGAAAGCTTATTTTCTGCGCTATTCATAAGTTTGTAAGAGCTTACCTGTACTTAAGAACTGTGACTTTAGGTTTAGCTCCAAAGGATCCCGTCTGAAAGTTGTCACAAAGTTTGGTGATTTACTTTGGTACTAGATGGGTAAAGAGAAGATTGTACTATTACTAATAAGTAGTTTTATTGTAACTGGAATTTAATTTTTTCCAGTTTAAGTATCTCACTGGTGAAAGACAATTTCGAGGCTTTTGTTGTAGTAGTCAAAAATTGTATGTAAAAATAATATATGGAAGAACAAAATTCAAAACTATATGGATAATTTCTTTTCTTGGTAGACAGTAGTACTTCATTTGTCCTTGTATAAATAGATCAGAATTAGTCAGCTAAAGCATATGTAATTAAGAAAATGCACTCAATATTATCAGCTTATCATTACTAGTGTTACACATTATTTATGGCACCGAACTTATTTCAAGAATGACATTATAGTAAAATTGCTGAATAAAGTTAATAATTTATCATGCCTAGGAGAGCAAATATTTATTGGTCATTTAAAGCTGTATTACAGAATAGAGTTTCATTAGATGGTATTTATTTTATTTTAAAAAAGAGGTACTGGGAGCCAAGAAAGACTGAGAGACAAAGAGAGGGAGAGCTTCATCTGCTGGCTCACTCTAAATGCCAGCAACCGCTGGGTTGAAGCCAGTAGCTGGGAACTCAGTGCGGGGGGGTCTCATGTTTCATGCAGGGGTCCAGTTACTTCCGCCATTTTTACTGCATCGCAGAGTCTGCCTGCCAAACCCAGGTGTTGTACTGGGAGACACAGGGTCCTCAGGATCCACGTACACCTTCGCCCTTAGTGGAAGCAATAGGAACTGACATAGGATGCATGCTGCCAAAGCGGATCCAGCAAACATCTCGAAGGTCTCTAAAGTTGGATCAGTGTGACCTATGCAGTGAATCTGAGGATACCAAGCTGATAAAGTTGTCTTCTTAATGGACAACCCTCGGTCACAAGAATGTGAAAGAATTAATCAAAGTTTTAAAGAAAGAACTCCTAGTACAAGATTTTTCCATCTTTAATGAACAACATTATATGAGGCCAAGTTAATATAACGAAACCTTCTGTTGAAGTTCTGTAACAATCCTGACACCTGGTGGTTGCACAGCTTCTAACATTGCTTTCCATTCACTCAGAACAAATTAGTTTAGCTAAAACAATAATGCCAGGCTTTCCCCACACTTCACGTACATAGTCTTGTAATTCTAACTGTAAGTTAGCAAAAAAAAAAAAAGAAAAGTTTTAATATACCAACAACATTTCATACTTAACTGACTTTCGTTATCTCCAAAAGGTATCATCTATTTGCTACAAGTCGTAGATGCCCTGATCCACTGAAGAAAGTTAGTCATTATCACTTGTTGAATTTGCCAACTGTAATCTCAGTAGATCCTAACAGTTTACATTCATTGAATACATTGATATCCTTGCTCATATCTTATTTAAATCTTGCTCACATCTTATTTAAATTACTTACCATGAGAAGATTCACTGAAGTAATAAAATCTTCACTTTTGTCCTTTTTCACTCATTCATCCACTGGTTCCATGGATTTACTTCATTTATACTAAATTGTAAGTTCCTGGTCACCGACATTTGCTTTTTAATTGTGTTTTTATCTGTCTGTCCTCCTCAGACCCAGGTCCAGCCAAAGCTGGCAGATTAAATCCCATTAGAAACAATAACCAGGGCTTGCCTCTCTCTTCTCTTATTTATTGCTGCTTCTGAATTGTGAAATGTCATAAGAAATAAGGAAATAGAGTTTTGTGTATCTTATACACATACTTTTTTTTGGCTTATATAGTAGCTGTCCCAATTAAGAAGTGAGTAAAAGTAATGCACACAGACTCTTATCTGACATGCGTGTACATATAGTCAGAGTGGAACTGTGTAAGCGATTGCCATATAGAGAAGTGAAGGTTCAATGGGGTATGCATTTCTATTCCTGAATCAAAGACGGACTCCTAATGGAACTGTTATCTTGATGAGAGGATGCTGGACTTTCTGCCATTGTCTATGCCTACAATAACACACTTAAGTCCATGTCAGGATGAACTTAGAACTGTTTTTGAAAGACTGTACTATTGTAATTCTGTAGAGGAAATCAGTGGGGGAGAAAAGATTTGGGGAAGGAGAAATCCCTGAGCCTATAGAACTGTACCATAAAAACAGATTAATTCTAAAAAGTAAAAAAGAGAAATAAAGCATATTTGTGACTTAAAAACAAAAATCAAAGGCTCTTTTGTACCTGTCGGAATTCATGTGGTTTGGGATTGATGTAGACACCTGCTGGGAACTTGCCGTTCCTCACGTACAGTAACTTTGCTTTCTGTAAATCTGGATGTGGAAATCTGGTTACAAACTTGGGAGATGTGGCCTTCTTGGGATGGCTCCTTATGCTGGGCAGCTGAAGCTGGGCCTCTGGATATTTGCTTTGATCCCTCCCTTGCTCTTCCTTGGTAGGCCGTGGTGGTATTTGTGGCAACTGCAGGGACGTGTACAGTTTGTAACTGAAGTCAGGAGGCTTTATTTCCCAAATGTCAACTTTCTTTGCAGGTCGTAAAGGTCTTTGGACAGATTTCCCCCTCGTGGAGTTGCGATCTTGTTGTAAGGGACACCGCAGCCTCCTTGCAATGTCACTCTCATTTCCGGGGGAGTCGGGGTTCATGCTGTTGGGCCTGTAGTACTACATGGAGAGATCTGTGACAGACATGGAAATCAGTGAAGTCTGTTGCTATAGCAATGGCAGATTCAACATTTCCTCTCCGGGTGGGAACAGTCTTTGAAAGATTTATGAGGCAGAATAAAACTCAGAAATGCAGGGAGTGTGTGCGCAGGGTGAGAAGGGTGTTTATATGACACCTTTGTCGCTGCAGTCACTGTGCCAGGGGTTATATGGTATTCTAAGGGATTGACTTGGAGTGGCTGTGGTGCTGCACAGACTGTCACCTCTTGGGATACCTGTATCCCTACTGAGCGCCTGGGAGTGAGTCCTACCTCCAGTTTGGATTGAGTTTTCTGCTCATGTGCGCTCGGGGAGGCAATAGATGATGGTTCGTGTTGTTTAGTGACCCGGTAAATGGAATCTCTCTCTCCCACCTCTCTAACTCTACTTCTCAACTGAATATATCTTTAAATGATTGACTTAAACCCCTTGTGCTTAAATAGCTGAGAAACCTCTTAAGAGACAGGAAGAAAACAAAAACATAGAACCTGTGTGATGTGATAGATACCGCAGTGCTGTTGTGAGGAGCAAGGGAAGGGATAAGTCAACTCCAGTAGGAAGATAGAAATAACACCAAAAGAAAAATGGTTGCCTTTGCCACACCGGCATCCTACAGCTGAAGTCTGCTGGAATCCCAGCTACTCTGCCTCTGTTCAGTCTTTGCTGACACACCTGGGAAGGCAGCAGGTGATGGCCCAACCACTCGGACCTCTGCCCCATCCGGTAAGTGATCCAGATGGAGCTTCTGGGCGCTGGAGTCATCCTGGCCTGTCTCTGGCTATTTGCGGAGATTGGAGCAGTGGATCTCTCTTCTTTTAAAATAAATAAATAAATAAATAGATAAATAAATAAATAAATAAATAAATCTTTACTTTTTTTAAAAAAAGCTGTCTTTTGGACTGATGTTGAAGGATAAGTAGATTTGCCCAGTGGAGGAGGAAGGATCATTTTACTAGGACATAGAAGGGGTATAATTTACCATCATTTATTTCTCGGACCTACAGAGCCGCTGTCTGCATCATTCCAGGCTCAGTAGTGACTGCTGTAACAGCCTATGGGTGAGGAGTTTGGATTTGATTACTACTGACCAGATATTCAGCAACAAGAGAATTATTGGCAGGCTTTTGGGATTTTTGTCAATATGCTGCTGGACAATGCCATTGAGTTTGAAATCTTGGAAAGAATAACCAGCTCTTAGAATATGTTTGATGAAGTGGAAGCTGTGTAACAATGCTGCTTCCCTGAAAATAAGTACCTGAGACAGAGATGCATTGCTTTGTCTTAGACTAACATTTGGGGTTGTTTTAGAATTGTGTCAGAATTGAGGATCTTCCAATTCTAAATGCTCATATTTAGTAAACTGAATTTATGAACAGAAGGAAGCTACTAAGAAGATAATACTGATGTCAACCTGTTAATAATCATTGTTCATAGAAAAGTTATGAATTGTTTTGTAATTATTCAAGTAGACGCATTTCTTCTTTAGAGAACCATGCCACACTGAGAGAATCCAAGCTAGGAAAGTCAGGTGGGATTGTACCAGTGGGAATCTTTAATGCTACATTCCTAAGGAGTTTTAAATCTATCAGAGAGGGGAAAGGGATGAAGAAGTTTACATAGGACATGATCCGTGTGTGTGTGTGTGTGTGTGTGTGTGTTAAACACACAGGTCAAGACAGTAGCAATGTGGAAGTGGACTCACAGTAAAGAAATAAAAGTTAAGGCAGAAAAGCCATTTCCATCATCTAGCCAATCGAGATGACGGAAGCCTAAACAAAGATGAGAAAAGGAGAAGTTCTTAGGAGATAATCATCAAATCTGATACCCTGGGCTTTGGCTCTAATGTAATTTGATCTCCTCATCCACATACAGGAATATAGGAGGACAAGCAGATATGGAAACGGGTCACGATAAACAGCAGATTTTAGCAAAATGCATGTTCTTTACACACCCAGAAGTATAAGCCCTGTGAGTTAGCCAGCTTCCGATACGTTAGTGCTGTGTTAACAAATCTCTGCCTTCAAATTCAGTTTTGTGAGTTAACTCTGGCAGCTCGTTCCTGCTGTCTCACTCTCCAGCTCAGGGTGGGGAGGAAGTGGCTGATTGAATCACACAATTCTGTGGAAAATGTCAGGAAAGTCTGGAAGTGAGAGAAGCCAACCAGTGCTGTCTAAGGCTTGTCCTTAGAATTGACATCGTGGGGTCCAGTGTGGTAGCTTAATGGCTAAAGTCCCCGCCTTGCATTCACCATGGTCCCATATGTACACTAGTTCGTGTCTCAGCTGCTCCAGTTCTCATCCAGAGTCCTGCTTGTGGCCTGGAAAGCAGTGGAGGATGGCCCAAAGCCTGGAAATTTCTGCACTGGTGGAAGATACCGCTGGGGGCGCTACAGCCCACATTTGATATCCAGTTAAGTTTTGGCTCCTTTGCTTCTCATTATACTTTCTGACAGTGCATCCTGGCAGGCAGCAGGTGTTAGCTCAAGTGCTTGGGTCCCTGCTGTCTATGTAGGAGACTCAAGATTGAGCTCCAGGTTCTTGGTTTCAGCCTGGCCCAGCCCTGGCTGTTTTGGGTATTTTCGGGGGAATGAACCAGCTGATGGAAAGATCCTCTTTCTCTGCTTCAGCTATCTCTATTTCAATTGCCTTTCAAGCAAATGAAAATAACATTTTAAAAATCAGTTTACTTTGGTTCAAGGACACGTAGAAATCTATTGTGCATGTTTTCTGATGATTTTGTATAAACTTCTTGAAGACCCCTTATCTCTGTATGTGAATATATGAGTGTGTGTGTACGTGCGGACAGAGGAATGAAAGATCAACTCTGGATTGGAATTGTATGTTGTAAAGTCATTCCTATGTCATTTGAACGGATGTGCTTGGTGAAATTCTTCAGCTTAAAGAAACAAGTGGGTGGAGCTTTGTAAAACAGTAGGATTTAGCATGTTGATGGAAAAAGAAATGTGAGTGGGATTTTTCAGTGGTGGTGATAAAAAGAGCAGCTGAGTCCATAAGGAAGGATCTTTCTAGAAGGGGAGTCGGAACATCAGTAGCCAAGCCAGTGGACCACAAGGGCAAGCATCACAAACACTGACGACGCAGTCACCGTGTCACAATGGTAGTGAGGATTTGATGCAGCGAGGCAGGTTATTTGAAGGAAACCAAACACTAGCCATTGAAGAAGGGAGGAACTGTCTCTGCAGAAGTCTACTCCATATGCAGCAATTACAAGTACTTCAGAAAAGACCTGTGAGAATCTGAGAACTCTAAGAATAAAACAGAACTTGACAGCAATTGGCAAAAGTTTATTGAAGAAAAATAGTTGACTGTTGTTAGGAATAATGTGTGTTGTAGTGTTTCAGCTTTACCTCAACTTTACTTTGCCATGGTACTGAAATTAAAACATAAACTTATTTTAATGCCAAAATGAGATCCTGGCTTAGTTTCACTTTCATTAACTTTCTCAAAGACATGCCATTGCCTGTATAATTCAGTGTTTGTTCTACATGAATCATACATTAGCGTCTGTCTGTGTAGTTACTGTGTGTAAATAAATCACCAGAAAGTCTAGTTGAGTGAGTAAAGCCTGTGAATCTTCACTTTATATGAAAAAAGTAAAAGTCTAAAGAAATACAAAATCAAATGGTTGATAAATCAAGGGAAAATAGTGATATTATTATTAGTCAAAGATTTAGTGGTAAATATTGATTTGCAGAAGCTCTATTTTGTGCAAGATGACTTATTGGAAATAATAGGATGGTTTAATCTGCCTTCAATAAGCACAGTTATTTTTGAAGTTGTACTTTAAGGACATGTTCAAATGCAATATTCTATTAAGACATTTTCAGATATTCATCTTTTTTTGTTCTGAATACAGTGATGGGATTGGAAGCTGTAATTTGAATTGTACTTTGCTAAGTATTTACAACCCCTTAGTTTAAACCCCAAAGATAGATAAGGAACTCTGTGTGTGCACAGATCTGTGTGTTGTAGGTTGAGCTGTAATTGTTACTGTTCAACCATTCTTAAACCTCACAAGACCTAATTTTATATGATTCAACCATAATAGAGATAATAGGCTTGCCAGTTTTTGAAAATTGTATATTTCTTTCTTGAAAACTGAATCTGAAAGACCAAATATATAATCATATTTTTCTAGATAATGACAAGCCACCATAAAATAAACTTCTATCTGAGTTTCTTAAGTATTTTTCACTATAAAATCACAAAATAGTTTTGGTATCTACTTTAAAATCTGCTATTTAGGAGTTGGATATAGTCTAGTGGCCTATGTGTCCCATTATGGAGTATCGGGGTTTGATGCTGGGCCTTGCCAACTGACTAGTTTCCTGGGAATATAGGTCCTGGAAGGGAGCAGTGAGGGATGGCTCAAGCAATTGATTCTGGTCACTCGTGCAAGAGACCTGGATTGAATTCCCAGCTGCTGGCTCCAGCCCAGCCCAGCTCAGCTGCCATTGTTGTAAGCATTCCAGTCCGTGGATGGGAGCTGTCTCTAAGTCTATTTCTCAAATGTATTGGGAAAAAAAATCTTCATATATGAACACAAATTCTACTGACTGAAAAAATGCTTGATTTTGTTGCTTGCATATATGAAGTTATTTGTGTCAATAAATATTTTGGGAGATAGATGGGTACACTTCATGCATAAATGTTGCCAATATAAGAAAAACTTATTATGAAAAAGTTTGCTTTGACACTGAACCCCTTGGACTACAAATTCATACACGTCTATAAAGTTGTATAAAGGAAAATACAATTCTTTCTTCAAGCTAGAGTTAGTACCTAATGGACCTTTTCAAAATTTTATATAAAATAATTTGGTTTTCTTATAAGTGAATTTGTCTCAAATATCATTTCATTGATTTGAGAGAGAGAGAGCGCTTTCATCTGCTATTTAACTTACCTACTGGTGCCAATGGATCTGGCCTGACGCTGCATCTGGCACTGAACACTCAGTCCTGATCTTCGAAGTGGGCCTGTGGGTGGCTGGGATCCAGTTGCTGCATTATCAGGAAGCTGGAATGAGGAGTTGGAAATGGACATGGAGTCTGGGAACTCAGATCAGGGATATAGGGATCTTAACCACCCACACTATTTGCCCTGCCTAATCTAGCTCAATAGAGTACACAGATTCCCAAAAGCTCATTAAATTGAGAAATGAGAAGACCTCCAAATAAAGACAAAAACAGGAGCACTCCTTAGAAAACCAGTACGTTCACTTACCATTTGGGGTTGGAGCTTTTTGCAGCATTTCCAGAGGAGTGTATTTTAGCAGATGGTTTCTGCCAGGCTGAGGGGAACTGAGGGACACATTCTCTTCTGTGTCAGAAGAGAAACCCAAGTGTAAGTTTAACTCATTTGGGTTGCTAGGAAATGGCATTCAGAGGACTCAAGTCACAGGAGGGAAACAAAGTGACACTTGGCCTTCTGATTGTTGCCTAAAACCTAGCAACAAGGGCGTGGATCCCACTCTCTTTTTGTCTTAGCCTGGAAAATCAACTTGATAAACAAGCATATTACTCCCCAAAAGAGAGACACAGAGACAAAATAATTGTGTTGTGCTTTAGTACTATATAAGAAGTGCTGCAAGTCACCTTCGATGTTTGTGCAGTAAGCTCCTTTATAATAAGGTGATGTTTCCTGTTTGACGTCTACATGTTTCTAAGAAGTAGATTCAGCTTTTGCTAAAATCCTAGAAAGGTTGAGTAGTTTTCATTTATTTCATGAAACAGATGAAGATCTCCAAGTTCTATGGCTCGACCTATTACTTTCTGCAATGTAATTTGTGTATAAATGTTTTTATTATCAATCCCACATTCACTCAGCACATACTTCTTGGAACTATTCAAATATACAAGGGCAGACTGAATTGCATAATAAATCCACTTGTAACTACCATTGAGTTTAATATACTGCCAGTCTATGTCCAACTTTATTTCACCAAATTTGATGTGAATCCCAAGCTTATCTCCCTCTTTCCTTCATAGCATAAGCAGTTATTTCAGAATGCTGCTTCTCCTAAGAATATTTTTTATTTTTAAATATGTACAGCATCATAGTATTTAGAAAAAGGAACATCACTGATACCCTTGTCATAAATACTTTTGTGAAATATCTACCACTAGGTGGTAGTATTGCACATCTATTTGTCTTACTGGATACATTAAGAAGCAAAAAAGTTCCCAATGTTTTTTGCACTGGTTATTCCTTCTGAAAGTAACAGTAAAGTTGAAATGACTAAATTTCCTGCAGCTTTTTAAACTAGATTGACCCATCACTATGTTATGTCCCCTTTTATTGTGCATGGAAACACAAATAATTGTTTATGAAAAACAAATATTTAATTCTTATTTGTGTTTAACTCACGCTTATTAACTGTTATAGTAACATAGCCTCATGTTTCCATAATATTATCAGTTAACTAAAAAAGATAGCAAACCTATGGTACTTCACATGATAAGGCACCAGAGAACAAGCAATTGAAAGGAACGTGAAAGGCATTTGGATGAATGAACAGCACAAGCAGCCCTCTGGAATTTTCTTTCATGGTCTCATGAAGGCATCCTTAGAATTTTCTGATGTGGAAATGCAGTTTTGCTATGTGACTCAAACGAGAGGTCGAATCATCTAGAACTCTCAGAGTAGATCATTATGAATGGAGAGTCGACTGCACACAGCACCTAGGAGATGCACAGCATTTGTTTTTCAGTGTTGCCAAGTTTGGAAGGGTATAAACTAATGGCCAGGGAAAGCCTCAATATTGATTTTTGTATTTCTAGACCTAAGGACTATGCACACTTTTGAATGTTACTTAACATATTTATACAATTACATAAAAATCATTCTGTAATAATTTTGCCACATAACAGGTAACTAGTTTGAAATATTCCATAAGTTAAGAGGAAATAAAATTGGCTTTAAATTATGCTCAGGGAATGAAAGTAAGAATAAAGTGTTTCTTTCTTTAAACAAAAGCGATGATATCAACTTGATACCACTATGTAGTTGAACAATCTACCACCTGATGTATTATCTTCTCTATCAAAGGGAATGATTTTCAAACTGGAAATAGCAAACATGACTAGGAAAGATCTGACATTTAATATAGAAAGATGATAATGAAATAACATAGCTATTTATATAAACTCTGAATTACATATCAGAGCAATAAATATGGGAAGTGGCAAAGGAAGTAGTACTGTTCTCAAACTTGTTGAGGGACAAACTGCTTTAAGACTTGATGTGGAAAAATTAAAATGCCTCAGTTTACCCTTAGAACCTCTAAAATACTAGTGCGGAAGTTTATTTCTGTTTGTTCATTTTTTTAAAGATTTATTTATTTTTATTACAAAGTCAGATATACAGAGAGGAGGAGAAATAGAGGAAGATCTTCCGTCCGATGATTCACTCGCCAAGTGGGCGCAATGCCCGGTGCTGTGCCGATCCGGAGCCAGGAGCCCAGAACTTCCTCCAGGTCTCCCACGCGGGTGCAGGGTCCCAAGGCTTTGGGCCGTCCTCGACTGCTTTCCCAGGCCACAAGCAGGGAGCTGGATGGGAAGTGGAGCTGCTGGGATTAGAACCAGTGCCCATATGGGATCCCAGTGCTTTTAAGGCGAGGACTTTAGCCACTAGGCCACACCGCCGAGCCCTATTTGTCCAATTTCAAAAGTGTAATTACATGAAATGAATTTCTTGATTCTCATATGGTGGTAATTGTAAACTTTAATTTGATACAATATTTGGCCTACCTGATGTTTGCTGTGAATCAGGCACAGTTCAAGGTGTTTTCCACTTGCTAATACATTCTGTTACACAGCACACTTTCAGAGTGGATATTTTTTAAAAAGATTTATTTTTATTGGAAAACAGATGGAGTTTTACAGAGAGGAGAGACAGAGACAAAGCTCTTCCATCTGCTGGTCACTCCGCAAATGGCCACAAGGACCAGAGCTGAGCTGATCCAAAGTCAGGAGCCATATGGGCAACAGTTCGTGTCCTGGCTGCTCCACTTCCCTTCCAGCTCCTTGTTGCAACATGGGAAAGCAGCAGAGAATGGTCGACAGCCTTGGGACCCTAAACCTGCATGGCAGAACTGAAAGAATGCCCTGGCTCCTGGCTCCTAGGTTTGGATCAGCTCAGCTCTGGCCATTCTGGCCACTTAGGGAGTGAACCAGCAGATGGAAGATCTTTTTCTCTGTCAATCCTTTTCTCTGTAAATCTGCCTTTCCAATAAAAATAAATAAATCTTAAGAAAAATAAAGTGATTCCATATCTTTTTTTTTTTTTGCTAAGGAATCAAAAATAACTCTGTAGATTCAAACACCTTATTTGAACACATTCAAAACTCACAGTAAGATGCTCTGATTTTTTTCTTCAGCCAAGTATGTAACATACTTGAGTAGCAGAGTTCATTTAAATTAGCAACCAGATTCAATATTTTTGCTTTAAGTCTGTAGAATGTTGACTGCAGCCATGCCCCACAGAAGATTCTAAGTTGGGAAACAGCTAAGACACCTGTCTGGACTTCCTTATGTGCAATCTCCTGCACATTCCCTCTGGGAGTGAACCTAGCACTTCACCCAGCTGAAAAAAATACTTCTTTCAAAAGTGGAGACATTGGAGACTTTGTGTCTATGCATGCTCATGAATGCTGGCTCAACTTGCACCCACTGCCTACCCATTAGACCTTACCCACTACGTCTCAGTACAAGGCTGATAATACTTTGAACAAGTGTTTTGCATCGTACTGAAGAGTCTATTTGAAAACCAGTCAGGTGTAATCACGTTTCTACATTGCTCCAAGTCTTGAACTAATTCAATATATTTTCTTTGTCTAAGCCGAAACATTCCCAATATCTTGGGAAGACAGGTGAAAGATTTACCTTGGCCACTCAAATGAAGTCTTGATATGTGTTAATTTTCAAAACACAATTGCTACTTCAAGAGAAAAACTATTTAATCAAATATATTGCCATCACCTTATTTGTATGCATATAAGCCCGAGAAAACTAGGTATTCTATGCACCCAATCTCAACATTATATTTCCATCATGTGTCCTGGAGGTAGAACATGGACAGGAAGCTGACAAACAGAGTGGGAGAAGGCACACAAAGCTTGTGCGGCCAGTAAGCCCACACCAGGGGTCTCTCACGTTGGTCCTCATCTCTGTCATTTCCTTCTGAGGCAGAGAATCCTCCTGAATGGTTGTTGCAACTTAGAATTGCTGAAGATTATGATGACTGAATGACCAGAGGGATATGCAGCCATTATGTCCTTCATCACAAAAAACCACTGACTTCCGTATGGAATTAAAAATGTTAAATTTGTCATAAAAGCAGCAAAATATGTAATAAAGAAGCAGAAGAATGTTATCACCATCCTTAGTGCATTTACATGGGCTTCTGTGCTGACACTCCTGAAACCATGAGCCAGCCGCTGAATGTGCTTGGAAACAGACATGAACAACATATAAATGCATAGCACAAATATGCCCAGGGGGAGTAGCAATGCCAAGTTGACAAGAAGTATCTCACTGGTCTTTTTTGCCTTGAGTTTAGTCTTACTGACTGTGGTGTTTCTGAGCACATCGCCCTTGCTACTTGTGGAGAAGAAGACTTCGGCACTTAGAACTGCGATGCTCGCAGATGCCAACAGGCTGCCTAGGAGCAGCCAGAGAATTACCTTGGAAATCCTGAACTTCAACCAAAGAAAGCAGGGCTGACTGAAGCCTGAGATCTTGAGACAGTAAAATACTGAAAGGCAAGCGGCAAACCAGAAACTGAGAGAACTGAAAAATGTCCAAAAAGCTACCAGCATGGCACCATATACTTTTTCTTTATAAAACATAGGGCAAAACAAAGACAAAGAGGTTTGTAACATGAGCACTACCTGCAGACCAAATCGAGCCGTCCCTATGCATGTTAATAGGATTGGCATTGGTATTAGCTTTCTGCATTTGATCAGTTCGTTGCAGTTTAGGATGATAAGGAAACCATTTGCTGTAATTCCTGTTAAGAATTCTGCTGACATGATGATGAGATGAAGAACTGCGAAAGAGGGGATCATGTTTCCTACGTTGACTCTCAGTGCTTCGTTGTGCGTGGTCTTAAATACCAACTCCAAACCCTGTCGACGGAAACAGAAATCCGATCTTCTGATTGCTCCAGGGTCATGGTCTTATAGTATTAGTTTTACTCCTAAGAAAGAAAATCAGACACTTTTTTGAATCTGGTGCTCTTCAAATGAAACTTGGAACACAAATCCAAGGATACGAACGAGAGGCCTTCTAATTATATCTTAGGGAAAATTACCATAATGATACTATCTCACCTTCTTCCTAAATATTGCAAAAAATATGATTATGTTTCATTTAAGTTACTGTTGTTTTCATTTTGCCAGTTATTTTTTCCCTTGTGCTAAGAGTTACATCCTTGGAACAGATAGTTATTTCTTAAACTTGTTACAGGGATGTAACTTTTTAAATAAGAATCTGTAGTTTCCCCAAACTCATGAAAGTACTTCATAAAGCCTATTACAACCCTGGAAATAAATTGATTTTATTGCAAAAGTTTATGCATTTTTTATAAAATTAATTTTCCATGAACTTTCCAAGTATTTCTTGCTTACAGATTTTGAGAAAAGGGAGAGAGTGAGAGCTCTCACATGTTGGTTCACTTTCCGGATTCCTGCAACGACTGGATTGGGGCTGGGTTGAAGCAGGAGCAAGGAACTCGATCAGGCATCCAGTTACTTGACTCACCACTACAGCCTTCCAGGGACTTGCAACCAGCAGGAAACTGGAATCAGGAGCCAAAGGAATCAAATCCAGATACCCTGAGATGGGATACAAGCACCTCTAGTGACTTAAACGCTCGGCTAATCACCTGCCCTGCGTGAACTTTTTGAAGGCCCTTTGTGTATGTTTTCACAATCTTCTTGGTGGGAAGTTGATCTTGGCATTACCAAACTCTTGATTACAAAGAGCTGTTCACATAATGTTGCTGAATTTCAATCCTACCAGTTGTAATAAACTGCTGCTATTTCATAAAGTAAAAGACGGTATAAAACACGTTTGGCAGATAGCACTAAGCCTTCCACAAGCGTTTGCTGCTAAAAGTGTTACTAAATACCTATGTGTCAAAAAAGAAATGATTCTATAAAGAAATGCTTTCAAAAAGACTAAAAACGAAGATTAAAACTATAATAATAAAACAATTGCATTTTCCACATACTGTCCACATTGGTGGTTTTTAGAACACCCAGGAACCTCCTGGACTGAGCATCCACCAGCAGTGAGAACAAGTGTCGGTGCTGCCTGTGCGAGGCCTGCTGCCAGCATCCTCACCTTCTCCCGCCCTCTGCACATCACATCCAAAATGCATCAGGCCTGATCTTCATACTGTGTAAAATCAGGCTTTGTGATGCATATAATCACCCTCTTACTCATTTTTCCTCGGTTTTGGTCTTGGTCATGTCTATGGTCCATGACTTTGCCTAGCAAATGAAAACGATGTTTTCTGTGCCCTCAGTGCATGCTGGGTGCACATCCTGGCTTATCTCTCTTCTCCAGCCTGTTGATAATGTGTGGAGCAGCAGCAGGTGGAAGGAAGCACGAGTTGGTGGGTTCTTGCCATTGATGTGGGAACCCTGGACTCCAGCTCGCAGCCTCAGCGTGTCCAGCCGGGGCTGCTGTCGGCATTCAGGGGAGGCAACCAAAAGATGGCGGATATCTGTCTCCATTCTTCTGATCCTCTCTCCTTCTCTCATCTCTTTCTCTGCCTTTTAGATAAAATAAATCAACAAAAACATGCAGAAATGTAAACTTTATCCACCCCCCTCATTGAATGGCTGATAAGTGTTTTTAAAAAGCTGTTGGATTAGTTTTAAACCAGCTTGCACTTGTTGTGTATGGGCAATTGCAGCTGGCTTCATGCGCTAAGGGCTAAATGATTCTATATGAGATTTGAATTTATCCAGAGCTTATTTCAATTTGAAAACCTGGATTCTGGCTCTCATTTGCCTTTTAAGTCCATCATTTAATTAGAGAGAAAGATCAGTGCTTGCAAAGATCTGTTCTAAAACTATAATTGACATTAAGCTACAACCTAATTAGGTTGTATTTGCATTTGTGATTTTCCCATCCTATGTGAAATATTCTGTATTTGTTCTATTGAATCTGGTTTTGGAAATAGAACTTTTAGCGAATGGCCCTTTCTGAGCTGTAGGATATGCCAATGTGAAGGGACATTTTTGAAGTTACTACCTCATAGGGCTGCTGGAGATTTGGGATGGGGAATGGCCAAATGGAGAGAGATTATTTTTAAATTGCCCAATGACTGAAAGTTTTACTAGAAGAATGACTTTCTTTTAAAAGAAAAATAAGGTTTACCAGGATGCACTGATGATTTTTAATTCATTAAACTAGCTTGAGTTTAATCATCCTCTGGTCAATGTTATTTTCAAATACTCACATACTGCTTGGTGGCTGACATACCTTCAGAGACTCGTTTTCTTCTTTTTGCTTTGAATATATGCTAATGGGGATCTTCTTACTCTCAAATGATGTTTCCAAATTTCTTGGACAGTTAGCATGTACTTTACATATTATTTTGTGACCAGATGTTTCCAGTGCACAGAGAGCGGCTTATTGAGATTTTACAGGTGGTAACTACATAAATACCTGGTTTTAAAAAACACACTGATCGTCTACCATATGCCAGTGAGTAGGTCTGGTTTTACAGATCACTGACAAAGACTGCGAGTGGTTTTTTTTTTTTCTACTTTCAGTTATAACTACTTTGGGGGCCCAACACAATAGCCTAGCGGCTAAAGTCCTTGCCTTTAACGCACCAGGATCCTCATATGGGTGCCGGTTGTAATCCTAGCAACCCCGCTTTCCATCCAGCTCCCTGCTTGTGGCCTGGAAAAGCAGTTGAGGACAGCCTAAAGCCTTGGGATCCTGCAACCATGTGAGAGACCTGGAAGAAGCTCCTGGTTCCTGGCTTCAGATTGGCTCTGTTCCAGCTGTTGGGGCAGCTTGAGGAGTGAATCATTGCACAGAACATCTTCCTCTCTGTCCTCCGCTCTGCGTATCTGACTTTGCAAGAAAAATAAGTAAATCTTAAAAAAAAAAGTACTTAGGTAATTTCACTTCCTTGGCTTTGCTAAGAAGTTTTGCAGTCAGCTTTGTTAACTGATTCCTTTCTTGGTCCCATTGAATTTGTTTTGTTTTTTTTTTTTAACCTGAAGTAAAGAACTTACTCAAACTTTCATATATTAACAGAAAGCTAAAGGAGGAGTCTACGTGGGTTTGAGACAGACCATACTCGTACCTCAGCAGCCGTCCGTCCTCAGTTGGCTGGCGGAGACCAGGCTGTGGACACTGGGGAAGTGGTGGTTTACCTTCACATAATTCTGCTGCTGTTCCTGTTGCTTTTCCTTTGGCTTTGAGTTTAGTTCAATATGCTAACAGTCCATCTTTATTAATTTTGACCTCGGCTATAGTTTTTAAATGTAGACTCTGAGCCCCCACCTAGAGTTTCCTGATTAATACTAGTATCACTTGGATGAAGCAAAACTCAGATAGGGTGATGACGAGGCTAATAACCCAGCTGCCAAAGGGCTTTCCTACATCTTATATTGCACTCATGAAGAAGTTTTCTGAAAAACATTAGGCATAAAGTTTAAATGATAAGTTTTGGAGAAAATTGATCATTGCATTGGAGTTAACCGTTATTAATGAAAAACTTGTGATCTTAAATATATATTCTAGATATTGTGCTGCACACTATCAAAATTGCTTCATCAAAATTGTCAGAGACAAACACAGGAAGTCAACTGCAAATCCCAGTTTAATGACTGTAATTCCTTTTCCCATACTTATAGAAATAGGAAAAATAAAACTTGGTTTAGGATAATATCCATAAGTGGTAGAATTTTGAGCTTGTATTGTTAGCATTCATGAATATATCTAGATGATAAGGAACTACTGACCCAAATAACCAATATAATATGTAAGTGTTCAATCAATACTATTGATTGAATAGTCTATGGAAAATGAGACACAACTAAGTTTGTATGAGAGTAGCGGGAGGAGTCATCAAAAGCTTAATGCTGGAAGAAAAGAGTCAGAATTTACTACAACAATTTTCCATTTTATAGAGAAAGATGTTTTTGAGTTCTAATGGTTAAATGACTTACTCAAGATTAAAAAATGCTAACAGAACTGGTGTAGCCCACATCAAGTGTCTGGGATTTCCTTATAGGTAAAATAAGTGTGGGTGTTATTATGTGTAGAAAAATGGGGAGAAAAAGGAAAGAAAGTTTGACTTTGTCAACATTTCGGATTTATCTTCTAAGATCTTGAAGCAGCTAACATGCATTTGCATGACTTATGAGCAAGATTTCATGATCCAGTGATTACTATATCGGTGTCCTCTTTATGAACCAGCTTCCTGACCATATAATCACAGTTGATAGCAAAATGTTTCTTGTAATTCTATTTTGAAGACTTTGTGTGCAAATTAAAAATGACTCAGCTAATCAATGACAAGAGAAAGAGCTCAATTCTCTAGAAGTTGTATAACTAAGATATTCTACATTTTTTTTAAAAGTAAAAATCCACTTGTAGTATTCACTTGGATAGTTTAAACCAAGAGGAAGCATGCAATATTTTGAAAGTAGCACAATGAAACACAATAAAAATTAGTTGATATTAACTGGTTGAATATAACATATACATATTTAAGAAAATACTCAGATGAGACAAAGTTGAGAGAGGGACATTTACATTTTTAAGTGTTTTCATTTCAGTGGGAAAATGCTAAATAAACCTAACAAAGCAAACGAATGAAGAAGGACTTAGTCCAAAGAATCAGAGAAAAGCACTAGAATGCTGAAACAGCAGATAACAACACGTATCGTGTTACATCTTCAAGCTGAACGAGACTGTCGTCACTTCCAGGAATACAGCGTTCTTCATGAAATTGCTTAGTCAGAAAAACTGATAGCAGAAAATGTAGTTATTGCAGAATAGCATAAAAATACTGCACCAAATTGGGATATTA